AGCTCACAGCAACCTCCATCTCCTGGGTTCAAGCAGTTCTCCGACCTTAGCCTCCCGAGTAGCTGGGACTACAGGCGAGAGTCACCACAGCCAGCTAATTTTTGTATTTTTAGTAGAGATGGGGTTTCACCATGTTGGCCAGCTTGGTCTTGATCTTGACCTTGTGATCCACCTGCCTCAGCCTCCCAAAGTGCTGGGATTACAGGCGTAAGCCATCACACCAGGCCAAGAAAGGACCTTTCTAAGGACCCGTAGACGAGTATTAAATGCATCCTCCCAAGAGGCCTATTTTAGTAAAATTTGATCAGAAGCTAAAATCAGAAGCTGTTGCGCAATACTTCCAAGCAGTATTAAGCAACTATACACATAGGAGAGGCCAAAACACATAAGGCAAAGCACCTTCCTTGAGGGAACTTTCTAGTGGAGTAGGAGCAGCTGCAAATACACAGAAACCATATGACAATCCCAGGTAGACAAGCAGAGCCTTTTTCTGCTGTTTTGCTGGTAACCTAGCATTTAATTTTGTTCAGGGCCAAATGAGTTCTGATTTTGTGCCTAAATGAAGGAGATGATAGACATTTGTAAGGCAGCAAGGCATACTCCAAATATGTAAGTTTGGTGTCAGAGAGGCCTGAGCTCAAGTACAGTCCAGCCCCAACTGTGTACCCTTGCTCTGAGCCTTACCTTCCTCATTTGTAAAATTGTGTGAATAATGTGCATCCCCATAATAATTGTGGGAATACTTAGAGTGTGCACAGAGCTCTAGGCCTGGCATGTGGAAGACTCTGCAGGTCGCTATTTGAGCATAAAAACGCATAGTGTCTAGTGCATGAAGGCGAAGAAGTTTTGAAGATCAATCACTTCTAAGGTCAAAGATTATTAGTGGGTGGAGGGGGCTTCCAGACAAGACTGTTTGCCCGACTCAAGATTCTGCACTAGAAATAGAGGTTCAGAAGCACTTGGATGAGTTTAAAAGTGAGGGTTTCAGCAAGTGACATTCCTACAGTGGGCTTAATGTTTTCTCAGTTGTAGAACAAGTAGAGTGGACTTTATCAGGGGTCTTAAAGTAGAATGTTCTCAGGGACAGGGGACAGAAATAAAACAGCAATGTCCTGGGTAGTGAGGGGTGGCAAGGGCGGGGTACCCACACAAATCCTTCACCACGTGGAGATGGAGGCACTAGGGAGCAATGGCCTCTGGCTCCACCTGGACTCCCTAGCCCTGTCTCCTGTAGCCCTCTTTTGAAATCTAGCTTCTGTCTACAAGTAGAATTTGAGAGTCTGCAAAAGCATAGGCATCTTGCAAATCATAACGAGAACATTAGTCCAGTTGTCCCTCCAGGTTTCTGAAAACCCATGGAAAACCCACGGAGCTTGAGTTTCTTTTCTTCTGTCATTTATTTTCTAAGATGCGTGTGTGTGTGTGTGTGTGTGTGTATAAGTGTGTACATATGTGTATATGTTTGTACATAGTTGTGTATGTAGGTGTGTGTGTGTATAGGTGTGTATATAGGTGTGTGTATATGCATGTATGTAGGTGTGTGTATATGTATATGTGTGTATATAGGTGTGTGTATATATGTATGTATAGGTGTATATATACATGTGTGTGTTTATAGGTGAGTATATATGTGTGAGTGTGTATTGGTGTGTGGATATAGCTGTGTATATATGTTTGTATATATATAGGTATATATATATGTTTATGTGTGTACATAAGTGTGTATATATGTGTGTGTTTATAGGTGTGTATACAGGGGTATGTGCGTGAGTTTGTNGTGTGTGTGTGTGTGTGTGTGTATAAGTGTGTACATATGTGTATATGTTTGTACATAGTTGTGTATGTAGGTGTGTGTGTGTATAGGTGTGTATATAGGTGTGTGTATATGCATGTATGTAGGTGTGTGTATATGTATATGTGTGTATATAGGTGTGTGTATATATGTATGTATAGGTGTATATATACATGTGTGTGTTTATAGGTGAGTATATATGTGTGAGTGTGTATTGGTGTGTGGATATAGCTGTGTATGTGTGAGTGTATGTATATAGGTGTTTATATATGTGTGTATATATAGATGTGCATATATGTTTGTGTGTGTATATAGGTGTGTATACAGGGGTATGTGCGTGAGTTTGTGTGTTCTAAATTTCAAAACCTTAATGATGGTTGAGTGGGACAGATGATGGGAAGTACATTACCCGTGAATATCTTACAATGGGTTTACTCCGCTCGAGGTCAATTATCTCCCCCACTGCAGGTGGAAAACTTTCCCTGAGAGCTGGGAAGACCTCTAGACTTTATAGAAGGCTGTGGTTAGGGGAATCTCTGGTTGTCATTATTGGTGGTTATTTTATGCTTTGGATTCCTTACTTCAATGTGTCAGAATGCCTGCTTGAGGCAGAATGACAAGCTTTTGTCATAGAGTGAGGCAAATAAAATCTTTGCCCGTGAAAGGAAGAAATAACCTCTGAGTCTGCAGTTTGTCCTGAGGTTTGACCAACTGTTACTTGACTTTTTAAAATGGGCACATAGCCTGGTTCACCAGCCCCCACCCCCTTGCCCCCATCCCCCTCAAACCCCATGCTGAGACTTCTGTAGTTATTCTGTGTGGTCAGCTGTATCTGTAAGGGCGGTGTGAGAAGTGTAAGGTAGTGTGTTTGTTCCTGCCAGTGCCTGGGGAGAGAATGGAGGCCATTCCAAGGGGACAGAGGGAAGGGAGGGAGGGGGAGGGAGGGAGGAAAGCATGAGTGTGCTTGCATGTGTTTGTGCATCTGCATGTGTGTGCATGAGAGTGTGTGTATGTGTACGCACGTTGGGATTAGGAGTGCTCTCTGATGGGCTACAGAGACAGTAATGAGAGCTATTTGGTTTGGCTCCAGAGTCGAAGGTAGCTGAAAGGAAGGGACAGTCCTGGTGGTGGGAGGTGGGGTTGGTAAGGGATCCTGGGGTGGATAAGGGTTAGGTTCTGGTACTTGGCCCAGCCAGGGCAATCAGCTTCCTGCTGAGGCAGCCTTTTTTTCTGTAAAGGATATACCTAAATTAGTGGCTCCTTCTTCAAAGGGGTAGGGATTAAGAAATGTTAATTGCATAAGGGACAGAGCTTTAAGTCTTGTAGCTGAACATCTTATCTCACCCAAAACTCATTGGAAGGCAGCTTTGTTCAGGACTGCCAAAGCTTGGCACATTTTATATGAACTTGGGAATTGTCATTGAATGAAGCCCCAACAGGTTTTATTGCTTTTAAAAATCTTTTGTTACATTAGAGGTGACTCACACTGTCTGAAGTAGCTTAGCAGAATTTATGGTTGTATCAAGTACTCTCTCCTCGCAATCACAATTAGTCCTCATCTGGATTGTACGTCTTTTGTTGCTTTTATAGGCATCTATGTTCATTATCTTATTTGAGCTTCATAACAATGGGCAGTATCATTTTCTAGATTGGAATAGTAATATTTCAAACATTAATAAGCCATACCATATATTGAGCATATAGTATACATGCCATTCACTATCAGAGTGCTTTACATGTTTTACTTCACTTAATCCTACCAGCAATCCTGAGAAACAGTTATTACTAGCCCACTTTACAGATCCTGAAACTGAAATATAGAAAGGTCAAATAACTTGCCCAAGATCACATTGGATTAAATGGCAAAGTGGGTTTGATTCTGCACCCAGCCCTCGTCTACTGGGGCAGCTGCCATTCTTGTTTCTTAGAAGAACACAGCTGAGTGGCATGAGGAGCACAATATTTTTTTTAAAGATGTTAAAACTAGGGCTTTAAGCATTAAAATGATTTGCCCAAAGTTTTCTTCTATTGCACATTTGCTTTGGTTTGTGTTCCAGTGGTGCCCTTATGGCATTTATTAACCCTGTACTCTACTTAACTGTTTTTTTATCCACCCTTCTTAACCCATTTATGCCTAGTGTTCCGTTATTGGAACGTGAAGCTTGTAAGAGTTATTTATATCCTACAGCTCAAGGTCATCGCCAAGGTCTGATTTTTCACACACAAAAAATGTGCAACCTCCAGCATACATGGGTCAACAAACTCCACAGTATTAGAGAGCCTTTTGTTAAGTTAGCTGAAACACATCAATCAAATCATTACTTCTCTCTTCTGTCCTGTATCAAGGTTTTTAACCTATCTTTGGGCTCAAAAGAATGTTAGACATTGGGCCAAAAAAAACAGCAAGTGGATTTTCTGATTAGAATGCTTCTGAAGAGATATTGTGGATGATGTTTCAGAAGATGAGTCACTGTTCCACGGAGTGATTATCTAATCTCTCCACTTTCATTTTGGCATGGTGACAGACCAAACAAAAAATAAAAGCTTTAAAGTTATATTTCTGTATCTTTAAAAGGTTAGAGGCAACTTCACTGAACCTGGCCGGTGTTTAGTTTTGTAACATGAAGCAAAAGTCTCACTCACTTTTTGCTAAATTCCTCATTTTGTGAAATAGCAATGCAAACATTGATACCACAGCTGATCCTGGAAGCTTGGAAGCCTCATTTTCTCTGTTCTTATGATATTTTACACAGGTATTCCTTTTCACGGATACTTCATGGCGTTCGTAATGAGATATAGAAAAAATTAGGTAAGCAGATAAAAATTGAAATTAGGGGGAACACAGATGCAATACAAGGTGAAAGCCCAGACTAAG